CCCTATAGCAATCTGCTTCCAAGAACTATAAAAAATGAGAATGCCTTTTTCCAGAATTAAGCCAGTTTACAATAAATAATCTCTTGAATAGATGAACTCCTGGATTCTGGCTTTGGATTGACTAAGCCCTGGCTACTGTGGTGATTTGGGGAGTAAACCAGCACATGGAAAATGTTCTGTCTCTCTTCCTCTCTGTAAATTTACTTTTTTTTAAAAGATTTATTTATTTATTGGAAAGTCAAATATACAGAGAGGAAGATCTTCCATCTGATGTTTCACTCCCCAAGTGACCCCAACGGCTGATGCTATGCTGGTCCAGAGCCAGTACCAGGAACTTCTTCTGGGTATCCCACATGGATGCAGGGTCCCAAAGCTTTGGGCTGTCCTCTGCTGCTTTCCCAGGCCATAAGCAGGGAGCTGGATGGGAAATGGAGCTGCCGGGATTAGAACCGGTGACCATGTGGGTTCCCGGGGCGTTCAAGGCAAGGACTTAAGCCGCTAGGCCACGCTGCCAGGCCCTGTAAATTTACTTTTAAGTTTTTTTAAAAAAGTAAGATAAATCTTTTTAAAAATTGCCATTCCAAAAAATTTACAGTGTAATATTCTGTCAGTGTGCCAGGGAATTTCTTCAAGGGCAACCAGTTTGTCTATTCAAGGGATTCTTTATCTGTAGTAGACTGGCTTAATTCTGGGAATTTACTGAGGGACTATGGCAATGTTTTTATTATCCAGGTTAAAATATTGTTTACTTGACCTAGAATTCTTCTGCTTAGATGTGTCCAATAAGAATTCAGTAACTTTTCCATATATTGCTGTTAGCAAAACCATATACACCTGCCAACATGATGTATTTCTGCCAACCAGAATGTTTTGATTATTAGGTTATGCTGAAGAAACTACTGGTAGAAACAGGTAAAATAAAGTGAACAATAAAAAAAGCTTATTCTATTTTAGTGAATATGTGGCATAACACCATGAAAAATGCTGCTGATGTTAATGATTTCTTTGGTTATGTTTCAAAATGAAACTAAGAGCATATTACGGGACATTGGAGAAAATGATATCCTCTTTGCAAAATGGAACAACATGTAGGTTGTGTTCAGCTGTTAAACAGAAAGCAGAATTTGTTGGTGATGAACTTGAACATTTAGTTGACATTTCTAAACATCACGTAAAATGTGCAGTCTTAAGTTTTCCATCCCATTTATAATAAAATATGATGGTAAAAAACAAAGGCAATAGATTGTGGGCAAAACTGTTAAATAGAAAAAAAAATCAGAACTTTGTGACTTCGAAAAAATTTTCACTGTGTCCAGATAATATACTCTGGAAATAGGGCAAAGTAGACCATCTCTTTTTTATTTTTAAATATTTATTTTTATTATTTTTTTATTGGAAAGGCGGATATACAGAGAGGAGAGACAGAGAGGAAGATCTTCTGTCCGATGACTCACTCCCCAAGTGAGCGCAACGGCCGATGCTATGCCGAAGCCAGGAGACTCTTCCGGGTCTCCCACGCGGGTGCAGGGTCCCAACGCCTTGGGCTGTCCTCCACTGCTTTCCCAGGCCACAGGCAGGGAGCTGGAAGGGAAGCGGGGCTGCAGGGATTAGAACCGGTGCCCATATAGGATCCCGGGTGTGCAAGGGGAGGACCTTAACCACTGCGCCACTGCGCCACTGCGCCAGGCCCGACCATATCTTATTTAACAGTGGTTTTACTTACTGAGTTTTGAAGTGGAATAAAACAGATACATAATGAGTAGCAATTTTGCTTTTTAATTTTTATCTCTCCTTGGGTTGGTGATACGATACTTTCTCATGCTTCTCTTCAGGGGAGTGAGATGTAGCTGCCATTCAGCCATACATTGACTCGGGTAAACACTTAGTATGCTATAGTGTACTGTACCGTTAAAATATGCTGTTTGGTAAATAAGGTGCATTAAATGATTTCAGTTGTCAATATTTTTAACCTATAGTGAGTTTATCAGAACATAGGTTACTCCAGCACGGATTGAGGAACATTAATGTGGCTATATAAAATCTCACTAAGAAGATTCAGCATGTCACATACAAATGCAATTAACTTAGTGAGAATCAGGAAGAGATAGGTTATATAGGAAAGACATGAGCAGAAACCTATTGTGTAGTGGCATAGAGATGGACCATGGTTGTTGAGACTGTAATATCCGAAGAAGGAGGAAAAATAAAACACTGCAAACTGGGACTGAGGAGGACAAAGACAGGACAAAATGAAGAGAGGTTGTTAGTCTTCACAAGTTTAATTGACAGGAAATGGAACAGAAGCACTCATGTACAAACATGCACACCTTTCAGAAAAAAAAAAATAAATAGTGATTCCAAGGATAGAATTATAAATACGTAAGCAGAGGCAAAAGAAGAGGTAATAGAAATAGGGAAAGGTGTAGCCTCCTTGGATCCAGAGGGTTGACTGAGTTATAGAGGAATTATTTGGTTAGGGCAAAAAGAGACAATGGCTGCAGGAAAGTGGGTAAGACTATTTTTTCCACATTGTTTTTTGTCATGTATCTGTGGTAAAGAGGGAGGTAAAGGGAGAAGCCCCCCCCCAGTCTCCCACCCACCCCAGGTCCCTCATGTGGGGTATGCTCCGAGGGTCTTGCTCAAGTTGTTTTGATAGTTCAACAGTTATGAATTGCTGCCAGTCTCGCCATTCCAAGCACGATGGGGTCATTGAAGAATCCCCTAATTGACATAGTTCATCTTAGAGTCTCTGCCCACTTTTTCACTGCCAACATATGGCTGAGGTAGTTGACTGACTTGTTCTGTCCTCTGTCTTTTCATGGCTAGGGTTCTGAGTCTGGCAGTTCGATTGGGGAGATCCCCAAAGAAACTTTGTCTGAAGTGTTCCCAGACCAGATTCTTATATATACTAGCAAGTACAGGGCCCGGCACAGTCTCTCGCCCCAGCTGGTGGTTGCAATTGCTGGGTCTGTTCTGTTTCTAGCACATCACACAATACAAGTATTTCTTAATCAGAAATCAGTTAATGATTGTCACATTATGTTTTATTATATGGTGATTGATATGATATAGCATTGCATATTGTTCTTTCTTTCAAGGAAAGATAATCATCACCACTAAAAGAATTGTCAACTTTCACCTTTAAAGAGAGGCCTGGAGAATACAGATTTCCCGTAATTGAAGGTAAATTCATTCACTTTACAACAGATGGAATACATGTCCTAATAAACACAACATAAAATACTTGTAACTTCAGTACAATATTGAAAATGCAGAGTTGAGCCACTATTCCCTCCTTGCACCCAGATTACTTGGGTTTATTACTGATGTCTTCAAAGCTGAGAAGCGTGAATGGGAGTAGAGGGGTAAGATGCTTTGCATTCTTTGAAAATGTCAGTACAGAACAGAAATGTTGAAAACTGTTCCAGAATGGCCGAAACTGAAGTTTAGCCCCTCTTCTGAGCCTGAATATTATACAGGAATTTATTTAAAAAAATTTAAGGATATTGTCAATAGACAAGCTGTAATATAGGTACAGTATTAGATTAAATACAGTGTTAAATTTACTGCTTTGCCAGCAAAAGTACTGTTCTTTTTCTGTCTTCCCTTCTTTCCTGTTAGTTTGTCAAAGTTTTCTTTAAGCTTTATTTATCAATTTGAATGTCAGAATAAAAATGGAGGGAGTGATACAGAGAGGGAGAATTTAAGCTAGCTGAATCACTCCCCTAATGGCTGCAACAGCAGGGACTGTTCCTGGGGGACCCAAATTCTTGGGGGTTCCTCCTCAGGTTTTCTAGGCACATTAGCAGGATACCAGGTCAAAGGTGAAGCAGCCAGGACTCACAGGCAGGGTCTTCTACCTGAAACACCGCAGTGGTGGCCCCAGTTCCTCAAACATTTAAGTGAGTTTTAGAGGTCTTTAGATATTTGTAGGGAATAAATTTACCAAAACATTACCAAAAGTTACTTTTGAAAGTATTGTGCCAATGTCAAGTTTACTAATGCTCATCAAAGATGGCATCAGTGAGAAGGAACATTCCCAGCAAGTAAAGGACAGCGATGTGTATGATTCACTGTGGAAGAAAGGCAGAGGCAGCAAAGATAGAGGGAAGCCAACAGGGTAAAATGTTGTGGGAAGGTGACACTGAGGGGTACAGGGTGCGCGGCCAGGGATGACTTCACTGACGCATTGTCACTTTTCCCGCTAACTGCCCCAGGGCGGTAAGCTAGGCGCGCCCCTCAAAGTGCTCGTCGCGAGCCCCGCCCCTCTCCCCTGTCGCCCCCTGCGACGCGCCCGCCGCAAGCCTCTGGAAGTTCGCAGCCCCTCCCCTCTCCCCTGTCGCCCTTGTCGCCCCCTGCGATGCGCCCGGTGGCCCGTCGCGAGCCTCTGGGAGTTCGCAGTCCCGCCTCTCTCTGTCTCTTCCTCCCCGTCCCCCCCCCCTCCAGCCGTCGCTCCCCTGCGACGCGCCCTCGGGTGACGTTGGGTGGCCTCCGCGCGGCCCCTCGCGGCCCCTCTGACCTCACAGAGCATTGCGCCGTCGTGGGCCGTAGCGTGACTGTTAGCGGACGGCTGCTCAGGCTGGCGGTTTGTCCCTGCTGTGAAGTCCGTGACAGCTCGACCTCCACAGGGCAGACTTGAGTTCCTGAAAGGTTGGTAGGTGTTCGCGGCGACGAGAGCAGCGGCGGCGGCGAAAAGTAGCGGCTTTGCTGGCACTGGTTAACGAAATCCACAGGTGTTCTGAAGCCGTTCAGGTGCAGTGGAATCCCCGACGCCCCCCAGTCCTTCGCTTCTTCGTAGTTGTGTCTGTTTTGGTCTATTCCCGCCATCATCCCCTCTTTCCCCCTCCCGTTCCCACCTTCCTTTCCCCGATGTCCCCAATGAACCGTGCTCATTACCTGAATCCATACATCTCCTGTCTCATAGCTCACAGTCCCTCCCACCCCATGTCCCGGTTTTCTGCCCTTTTTCAGGCCGGGGATCTCACGCTTAGATGCTGAGGATGGCGCTAAAACGCATCCAGAAGGAGCTGCTTGAATTGACCCGGGACCCTCCGGCTCAGTGCTCAGCAGGGCCAGTGGCTGACGACCTTTTCCACTGGCAAGCTACCATCATGGGGCCAGAGGACAGCCCCTACCAGGGAGGCGTGTTCTTCCTGACGATCCAGTTTCCTTCCGATTATCCGTTCAAGCCACCTAAGGTGGCATTTACTACTCGAGTTTATCACCCAAATATTAATCGGAATGGAACCATTTGTCTGGATATACTTAAATCGGAATGGTCACCAGCCTTGACCATTTCTAAAGTATTACTTTCTATCTGCTCAATGCTATGTGACCCCAACCCAGATGATCCTCTGGTTCCGGAAATTGCTAAGGTCTACCAGAAGGACAGAATGAAGTATGATCGCATAGCTCGAGAGTGGACACAGAAGTACGCTATGTAATTTTGAAATAAACCATCCATCGGCTTATTAATAAAGACAAACATTTGGTTGTGTTGGTTGTCTGTTTTATTTTTGTTTGTTTTTTGTTTTTCTTAATTTTCAGGAAGTGACTTCTCCACCCTAGTGGGCACACTGTACAGTTTTTACATGGGGATGTGGGTGGAGAAGGTGGGGAGTTGCAAGTATGGGAGACAGGGATTGAGATGGGAAGGGAATGTAAAACAAGATCATTGCTAATCTCGTGCTGGCTAAAACTTCAGATCGAAAAGCAAAAGCAAGAACAATAAGGAGGTTGCTTTATGGTGAGAAGAACAGTTCCACCTACCAATGGGAAAATTGCATGCAATTTTGTACAAGTGACACTACTTAGAAAAAACTGGGTCAAGTTTACAAAGCTAGTTTAGAGAATCATTTTATACTGAAGAACCTATATTTCCAGATGTTTTTGATCAGGGTTAATCTAACCATTACATTATACTTTAGATGTAGAGTTAACTGATGATCAAACATGGAATGGGTTAGGGATTATTGCAAAATAAAATGTATTTTGTTTGCACATTTGGTATTTTGTGTCTGTTCATTTAGCCCACTCTGCTTCCCGTGCACACTCTGGATTGGATGTGACCTCTAGGATGTTTCTACTAGCTGTGATTTCTAGTAGACAGCCCCTACCAGAGAGGTGTATTCTTCCTGGTGGTGCAGTTTTCCCAAGATCCATGTATACTCTGAGGTTATATCCAGCTTGCAAATTTAATTGATCACAGATCAGTGTAGCCTGCAGAATGACAGTGTCTTGACTTAGAGACAAAAGCCTTAGAAAAATGGCAGGGTGACAGAGCAAGAGAACTTCCACTGATGGTTCACTTCCCAAATGTCTGCAATAGTTGAGAATGCACCAGGCCAAACCCAGTAACCCAGAACCTAGTCCTGATCTCTGACATAGGTAACAGGCCCATTAGCAGGGGACCTAGATGGGAGGCAGAGTAGCTGGAACTGACATTCCTATGAGACATGACAGTATCACAAGCAGTAGCTTAATCTCTTGGGACAACATCAGCTATGGACAAAAGCCCTTAGTAGTCTTGGCAGTGCGGACAATGTAAATTCACTGGCCTCAGTTTCTCTTGTTCCCAAGTTCCAGGTATGAAATGGAGAACAGACCATGCATGTAGGCACTTCCTACACAGTTTCACCTCACCTAGGAATCCTCCCGTCTTGGAAGGAAGACTTAAGTGTGCCCAAACTTGGGCCAAAAGAAGATGCTATTCTTACTAATGTGGTCCAGGAACTCAAACCTGGGCCTTCCACAACGGATCGTTAGGCTAATCCTTCCATTGCAAGAGCCAGGCTCCCATTTGGGCACTGGTTTGTGTCTTGGCTGCTCCAGTTCTTTTACAGCTCCCTGCCTGTGACCTGGGAAAGCAGTCGAGGACAGCCTAAATCCTTGGGACCCAGCACCCACGTGGGAGGACCTGGAAGTGGCTCCTGGCTTCAGATCAGCTCAGCTCTGGCCATTATGGCCACTTGGGTGCTTGGGTAGTAAACTAGCTGACAGATCTTTATCTCTGCCTCTTTGTAATTGTGTCTTTCCAATAAAAATTAATAAATCATTAAGAAACCAAACAAAAAACCCAAAAACATAAACCTGCCCTTGTTCATGGAGGGAGTTTTGTGTTGAAAGACTGGTTACTGTATAAACATACCTCAATAAAGTTTAAAGAATAAAAAATATATATATAATATGTAACCACTTTTAGCCAATTAAACATAAGGTTTGCTTTTAAATTTCTATTTGTATTAATTATTACTAGGAAATTCACATTATCAAAGATTAGAAAGTACATGCATAAAATTTTGTGTTTTAAGTTAACAAACTAACCAGGATAAATGCTGTGATTGAAATATATAGAGGAGCCAGCATGATAGCCTAGTAGCTAATCCTTTTACCTTGCAATCGCAGGGAACTCATATGGGCACTGGCTCGTGTCCTGGATGTTCCATTTCCAATCCAGCTCCCTGCTTGTGTCCCGGGAAAGCAGTTAAGGATGACCCAAAGCCTTGGGACCCTGCACCCATGTAGGAGGCCCAGAAGAGGCTCCTGGCTTCTGGTTTTGAATCAGCATCAGCTCAGCTCTGGCCATTGCAGCCAAAAGAGAGTGAACCAGCAGACAGATCTGTCTGTTTTCTCTAAAAACTTGCCTTTCCAATAAAAATGAATAAATCTTTCAAAAAAATATGGAAGTATCCCAGAGCATTGCGCCCTGATAATTTTTAACTGATTTGATATTTGGTAATGGAGGCAAACATAAAAATGGAAGTACCTGGGCCTGGCACAATGGTTCATATGGCTAAATCCACACCTTGAAAGCACTGGGCTCCCATATGGGTCCCAGTTATCGCCCTACCTATTCCATTTTCCATGCAGCTCCTTGTTTATGTCCTTGGAAAGAAGTAGAGGATGACGCAAAGCCTTGGGACCCTGCACCCATGTAAGAGACCTGGAAGAAGTTCCTGGGTTTGGATTGCCTCAGCTCTGGCCATTGAAGTCATTTGGGGAGTGAACCAGTGGATGGAAGAGTTTTCTTTCCTTCTCTGTGTATCTGCGTTTTCAATACAAATAAGTAAATCTTTAAAACCTACAAGTACTTGTGTGTACTGAAAATCAAGATTTTTCCTGTTGAATGTGTAAATTCAGGTATATTTAATCAGATTGTAAACAGATTGATACCATCAATACTCTTAAAATCTGTGATACTTTCTTATTAATAAGTGAGATAATTATGGTCTAAATATCCCACACAACTCATGTGTTCAAATTTTATTATCAGTGTGATTATACTGAAGTCTTAAAAATGATCAAATCATGAGGGAGTAAACCTTTATGGGTGGATGGGAGCTCTTATAGAAGGGATTGTGGCAAGGGGTGTTAGCAGTGTGGCATGGTGGGTTAAGCTGCTGCTAATAAAGCATGTTTCATAGTAATGTTTTGAGTCCTGGCTGCTGCTGCTCCAGTCCAGTTCTAATGTGCTTGTTAATGGGCCTGGGAAGGCAGCAGATGACCCAAGTGTTTGGACTCCTTGCCACCCACTTGGGAGAAATAAATGAAGCACTTGACTTCATCCTGTCCCTGATGTAGCTGCTGAGACAATTTGAGGTGTGAACCAGAGGACAGTTCTGTCTCTGTGTCTGTCTTTGTCTCAGTGAGTTTGCCTTTCAAGTAGGTGTTGCTTTTCGTTTATGGGTTTGAGAGAAGCAGTTCATTTGCATTTACTGTTCCCCTGTAAGCATAGGACATTTTCCCCTTTGCCCTTTTCATCAGTTTTCCCCTATATTAGCATAGCAAGAAGGCTGTCACCATGCCAGCACTTTGATCTTGGAGTTCCCAGCTTCGAGAAGTATATGAAGTAGGTTAATAGTATTTATAAATTACCTCATTGAGACATTTTGTTATAGCAGCATGAATTGATTAAGACAGGAGATATTAAAATCTTTATTGCAATAAGACTATACAATATAGAAAAATTGTTTTACTATCCAAGTTACTAAGACCTAAAATATATGCTTTTTATCTCAATATTCAGGAGTTGCTGTCAAGTAAGAGTGTTTTGTATCTTCTATGTCCTGTATGGTAGCATCTTGCCACATATGACCAATTGAAGTTTGGTAAGTATAATCAGGCAACTGCATTTTTAATTTTAATTAATGTTAAAGATTAATTTACTAGTTGTGTTAAAATAACCCTTTTAGGCAGTGGCTATATCATGAACTTGGAGTTTAAAGTAGGAAGTATGTACAGATATTTGGTTTCAGCATAGTTCTGAAAGTCAGTGACACAGCTGATGATGTACCAGAGATAGAAGAGTTTATCAGGTGTCCTATCAGGTCACCTTGAGAACCTGGAAAAATCAAGGGAGCCTGAAGTGAAGACAATAGGGAAGCTCTGAAAGACTCTTATGACACTTTGTGGAGGAAAAGAAATGAGTATTTATGTAACATATAACTTTTTAAAAATGAATTTAAAGTGATTTGATTTAATGTGGAACAAACAGGAGTATTTGTGTCAAAAACCTGTCTTCTTTCAGAACCCACCACAATTAGTTGTGTGACACTGAATGAGTAACTTCTATGAACATTAGTTTCTTCAGTTATTAGAATAATATTTGCACTATTCCTTAGTTTATTAAATAAGGTATTCGAAAAATGCTGATCTTTACCCTTCAATCCACATTCAATAGTTTTATTGAGTATTATTTGCTTGAATGAGATCTCTTTCCAAATTACTTTTCACTGTACTGCTAACAAGATGAATAGATTGCCAAATTTATATTTCAGATATTCCTAGGATGATTTGAGAAAAAAAAAACCCTCAGACTTGGAATTAATGAAAGGGTGCATTGACAAGATAAGAGTCAATAAGAGGAATTATAAAAATGTAGATTTTTCTGGTCATATCCCCAAAGTAACTTGGAAACCCAAGTACCCTGAATTTATTTCTAAAGTTAATTTCAACATTAAGAAGGTAAAAGAGAGAGATTTCATCCCCATAACGACTGGAGCACAGATCTCCATATGGAACTCCCCCCAGAGCTCATCTGTCACTTTTCCAAGCACTTTAGTAGGGAGCTATATCGGCAGTAGAGCAGCTAGGACTGAAACCCAGGCTGTGATGTAGAATACAGGTAGCATTTTTGAAATGATGTTTACATAGTTGATCAGGGTGGGAAGGATAGAGGGTTAGAAGAAAGAGGGTGTGATCATTGTTTCCAGATTTTCTGTTTCTTCCTCCTGTATCTGGGGGAAAGGGAGATGAGTGGAGAAACTAGCTTTTCTAGCCACTTCAACATGCAGGGAGGGGGAATGGCCACCCAATGTCATCCCAGGGTCCCCTATGTGGAGCATGCTCAGAGGGTTCTGTTTAGGTGGTTTCGATAGTTCTGAAATTCTGTCTATCTCACAGATCCAAGATTATGAGGAAATACTTGGAAGTTCCATTGGCCTGC